TCTTTTTGAGACAGGGTCTCCCTGTAGTCCCAGATGACTTGAACTCACTATGTAGACCAGGCTGGCCTTGAACTCACAACAATCTGCCTGCCTCTGCCTCCCAAGCGCTGGGATTAAAGGCATGTGCCACCATGCCCGGCAAAAATCAAAAGTTTTAAGAAATTACATGCTAAGGTAGACCAGACCTAACAGCCGTAATAGAAGTTTTTATATTTAAGAAAAATGTTTCCTATCGTACCTGCTATTTATTTCACAGTCACTTAACAATTTAACAATTGGTCAAAAACACATTGATATCTTCATTCAAACTATCTACCCAAAGGCTAAACACAAAACCCAGGTAACTGTATTAGAGGGGGGAAAATTGTTTAGTATTATCATGTGCTTACTTAACTAGGCCCATGCCTTAGGTTCTCTGATGCTGTTATGGAACATTGACCAGAATCGACCTGGGGAAGGGTTTATTTGGCTTACAGGTTACAGTCCACTATCAAGGGAAGTCAAGGCAGGAGCCTGGAGGCAGGAACTGAAGCAGAGGACCATGGAGGAATGCTGCTTTCTGGCTTGCAAACTCCAGCCTCCTCAGCTGGCTTTCTTATACAGCCCCAGCCCACTTGCCCAGGTATGGCTGGACCCTTCCACATGAACTAGCAATCAAGAAAATGCCCCAGACATGCTCAAAGGCCAATCTGATGAAGAAAATTCCTCAGCTGAGATCCTCTTTCCAGGTATGTTGAGGTTTGTGTCAACTTGATGAAAACCACGACAGCCCCTTTTTGACCCAACTGAATGCTTGGTTAAATCTCTACAGTTGACAGCTTCTAATTCCTCTAAGAATCAAATCCAAAGTTATTATATGGGTAGCCACAGTATGGTCCTACATAATGCCACCTTCTCTAAAACTGTAAAGGCTTTAATTTTCCCTTGTCTGGCACCTGTTACTGCTGGGCTGTGAAACACCCCCAACACTTGGTGGCTTAACACCCCCACCTCCACCCCACCACCATTTTATTCACGATTCCATGAGTTCTGCCAATTAGCACTTTGGACTGCTCTCACTTGGGTCACTCAAGCAGCATCAGTTGGTGCTAGATGAGGGACGGCTAACTAGTGATGACACATCTGGCTGTTAGTACCATCAACTGGGCCATGTATTTCCTGCAGGTAAGCCTGGGCTTCCTTCCACTCCATTACAGGGCCCTGAACTTGACAGAAGCTGCACTCATTGGCCCAACAGAAATTACAAGGCTAGTCCATACTCAAGTGGTAGAAAATAGACTTTCCTACCTTTGATGGAAGGAACAAAGCAGAATACAGAGCCATCCACAATGGCCACATGCGGGCTGCTTCTCTAGAAGGTATTCCACTGCCATTCTGTCATTCAAACCACAAGCCAGGATAGCCACGAATATAGCCAAACATGAAATCATAGTTTAAAAGCTTTTTTTAAAAATTCAATTTGTAACTCCAATTCCAGAGGATCCGACAGCCTCTTCTGACCTCCGCGGGCATTGTACAACATGGGTGTACTTCATACATGCAGGCAATACATGCATACACATAAGAATTTTATTTATTTTTAAATTTTGGTGTACTTCATACATGCAGGCAATACACGCATACACATAAGTAGAATTTTATTTTTAAATTTTATTATTTTTATGTGTATGCGTGTATTGCCTGCATCTAGGTACGTGCACACGTGTCATGCAATGTCGGTGGAGGACAGAAGAGGCTATCAGAGCCCCTGGAACTGGAGTTACGGACAGTTGTTAGCTGCCATGTGGGTGTTGGGATTCGAACCCAGGTCTTATGCAAGAACAGTGTTCTTAACCGCTGAGCCATCTCTCCAGCCCCAAAATCAATAAAAATTTTTAAAAATTCAGTTGCATGGTTGTTTTTATTTATTTCATGATTGTTCTGCATGCATGTATGTAAGCACCGATGTCATATAATTCCTGTGGAAGCCAGAAAAGGGTGTCAGATGCCCTGGAACTAGAGTTACAGATGGTTGCTAGGCACTATGTGGGTGCTGAGACCTAATCCCAGGTCCTCTGCAAAAGCAGTCAGTGCTCTTAATCACTGAGTCATCTATCCAGCCCAACTGCATGGGCTCTTAAGCATGAACTGAGTTTGATTCCTGGGACCATTGTGGTCCCTTAAGTTGTCCTATGACCTCCACCACATTCTATCTATCCATCCATCCATCCATCCATCTCTCTATATGTATATATATGCATATTGTGTGTGTGTGTGTATACACACACACACACACACACACACACACACACACATAAATTTTGTAAAGACTCAGAACAGGGTACTACATAGATTATGGAAAAACATTTTACTTAATTGAGGTGGTGGCTATCTTGAAAATTACACACAGACCTTTTTGTCTAAAAAAAAAAAGGAAAAAAGAAAAAAAAGGCTCCTTAGCTTTCATTAGTGTTTGTATATTTAATGAAGCCCAAGACATTCTTCTTGGTCTAGTGAAGCCCAGAGAAGCCAGATTGGTCACCCCTACTTTGAACCATCTTTCCCAAGGGCTTTTCCACAGTGTGTGCAGTAGCCCCTTGCTGCTTTCCCAGCCCACAAGATTCCAATGATCTGTTATTTCACTATTCACTTGCCTGTCTTCTCCAAGGAATCAGGAACTTAACCACCTTGCTCAACCCTGAGGTCTACAATACAAGACACCCAAAAATACACTGAAATTTGTATCTTTATTCCACTATAAAGAAGTCAATTAAGTTATTAAGCAACTGAAAGAATAAAAGCATTTCTGTTCATAAAACACACTAGGGAACACAATCTCAATGCAGTAAGATTTTGTCTTTTGGGGGTTTTTTGTTGTTGTTGTTCCAAAATAGAAAATTTGATCAGGGTATTCTCCAAGTTACTTAAGCTAGAACTTCAGACTCCAAATGTATTAACATTAAGATACTAGCTAAAAAAATAGTGATTTAAGGTGGAAGCAAGACGTTCTCGGTGAAACCTGCCTCAAAAGGCAGCCCTCATGCATTACAAAATCAGCTGCAGACTTCAGTCCACTTCTCTCCCTATATCTCTCAACCAAGTTACAGGGAACATTTGGGCATGCGTATCTTCACGTCAACCTCAGCAGAATCAAGATGTCCCAATCAGATCACTCTAATTGCCCTCCTATTCCCAATGGCCAGGCCCCCAAGATGGGGCTGTACTGTTTGGATCCCACGTAGAAAGTTATGCTACAAAGAATAATACTTCCTGATATTGTTTATTCAAACAATATAACATCAAGCCATCAGAGTATTTTTCCATTTTTTTTAATTTTTTTTTTACAAATGACAGATCTACTCAAGATAATTTTATTATTTAAATAAGGATAAGGCTACTTAAAAGACTTTAAACATACAAAAATGTACATTACAAGGTCAACCTTTTCTGTACTGAATTACAAAACTTACACAAGCATTTAATAAAAGCACACTTAAAAACATTTTGACCAATTAGTAGCCTCTAAAAATAACGAAGTTCCACAGTAGTAAGTAGAGGAAGCTATTACATACATAGATGATTTAATCTACTGGCAGTTTTACTTAATGTAAGTTTTTTAAAGGTCATTACTGTTGAATGAGTCTCTAGATCAGTTTTAAAATTGTCTCTCACAACTTAAGTCAACCAAAATAGTATTTCAAATAAAAACTTCAATTCTGAAGACTTTTAATACCAGCCAAGCATAGCCTTGTAGGAGTGAACCATCTTTCCAAGTGTCTGGCAGCTGTCGTAGATTAATAAGGCTATTTTGGAAACTATTCTACTTCAACAGCCTTTGGGAAACAATTCAATACCTTGGTACTGCAGGGTCCTGAGACTGCAGAATCCACACAGCTGCCTATGATCCCTCAGGTGTAAGAGAACTGGGGGTCAGCCTATCCTCACCCCTTAGTGAACAGTGTAGGGCCAAGCAATACGACTTGCAAACCTAAACCTCAAGCTTCAATAGAGAGAAAGGAGGAAGGAGAATCGAAGTAAAGGAGGGAAACACTGGGAAGGAGGAAGGAGAAAGAGGTGGAAGAAGGAGCAAGGCCCACTTGCCAATGGCAGAAGTGGTGTCTCACACCACACAGCCACCCACCGACTCCAATACCGTTCATTTGCCCAACCTGGTAGTAAAAACAGCTGGCTTTATTGGGACGCAGAATCAAAAGCAACATTAACACCATGGTAGTGAGTAAAGGTTATTCCAGAATTGTCACCAATCACGTCAAGTCCTTCTAAATTCTTATGCAAATTAAAACACCACTTCCGAACAAAAGACTCCAGGTGCTGCTGCTCCAGATTCCCAGAGCTGGGCACACTTCATCAAGCGGAGGAAGCCGGTCCCACGATCCCTTTAGGAGGCATGGCACTCTACTATGGTGGGAGTACATAATACACAGTGCATGGCTCAATGCTTCTCCACCTCTCAAACTCAAAACAGCTCAATAATATGCTGCTATGTGAGCATCAATGCTGAATGTTCATAGTATAAACTTCAATTTGAAGCAACAATGTTACACAGTTCAGCTGTTATTACCAACCTACTCTGTAAGTTAAATATACAAATTAAAAATTAATTTCACTGAATAACTAAAAAGTTCCCACTGACTAAAAATCGTCAAATGGCTAACTCTCTCTTAAAAGAGAGAAATGCAGGTGGAAGCAAAGAAGAAAACTGAATATAAAATGTGTCATTCTACCCTAAAAGCTGCACCTTTTAAATCTCCCTTGACATTTACATAGAGGACCACAGTTCCATCAACATTACATGCATCACCCCTGCAGATAACAACACATTTAAATTTTTACTGTAGCATTAACAATTTATGCAGCATTATGCATCAATTTTGTCTTCTTTGTACAAATTTACAGTCTGGAAAAAAGGCAGAATAAAACTATAGTCTTATACTCCTTACCTGCAAGGCTGAATTATTTTTTGTAAGGCTATTTGATAGCTGAACTAAAATGCTTGTTTCAACACATTTAAAAAAAAAAAAAAAAAGGAGAGAGAGAGAGATGCCCTTACAGCATATTGAAAAACCACCAATTTGAGAATCAATCATAACATGAAAAAAAACCATAAAATAGCTTTGCTCTTGTTAGAAATACATGAGAAAGTAGATACTAGAACTCAGGAATAAGATACACCGTGTTTTCTCACTCCCCTGTGTTATACAAGTAGATGAAATGAACTAAGACTTTGAAGTTTAACTGCCGGAAGCCATATGTATCAGACTAAAGAGTCTGCCTCTCCTCTGCTGCACTCTACAGTGAATTCGAACAGCAGCAGCCCTACAACTGCTTACTCAGTGCACACAGATGCACCCCTCACCACTGTACTTCCTGGACTCTCCTAACTCTAGACTTCTAGCCCCAACAATTACCACTAACTCTAACATGATCACTCAGCCTAAAGACTCTGAAATCAACTTCATTTTAAAAAGATGAGCTCATAAGAGAACAGCTGAATTCAAGAATGAGTCCTTGGCTGCAAGAGAAGAGCAGGCAGGACTCCTGCGAGACAAGATCGCTGTCAAGGATGTACCAGTCGATTCATAGCCAATCAATTCTGGCACAACATCAAGAAGGGAAGCAGCAGCAAGCCCTGACTTCCCTTCTGCTTTTCAGGGGGCAAAGTGGTGCAAGCTATGGAAGAACAGTTATTTCATCTTTGTTCAGAATACTTTTCTAGCAATACCACCAAGATGCTTTTCTTGGTGAACCCTACAGATGCATGTGGCAATATTTACTAAAATACTGTGAGCTGCTATATGCTTCTGCTTGGAAAATGAAATTTCTAAAAATGTTTACACTAAGCTACTATTTTAAAAAGAAACTCTTCCCTAATTGGGACATCAAAGTCAAGAAAGTTTAAAAAGGAAGGCAGGAAGGAGAAGGGAGGGAGGGAAAGGAAAGACTATTTTTTTTCAAACTTATTTTAAACCTCTCAAGAAAATTCCACAATCATCAGGATCTCTGTAAATACTGTGAGTTACAGTTATATTTACATTTCTGGAAGCTTCCCTTCATGGCCATGTAACATGCTGTATCTTCCTCTTTGTTTCTGGGGGCTTCAGGTAATTCTAAAAAACAGGAGCAGAAACCAGTTTATAACTGCAGAACCAACCGTCTCAGAACAGCCAAAAGAACACTTACCCAGCCACAGCTTACTACTCATAAATTAGTGCAAGACCACTGCTGCCATCTGGTGGGAACAGCTCTCAGATGAGGAAAATAGGCCTGTTCTGCCTCCTTTTTTTCCTGCTGTGGTTCTCAAATGTTTTGCACCTAGAGCACTTATACACACACTGGACCTGAGTCCTAGCCCAGAAATGATCTAAACTCAGTGGGAAATGCTGACGAAGAAAATATTGACATTTCTGAGTAGTATCTGTCTGAGTGTATACATCATAGATATGTAAACATTTAGGCCAAAAAAGTTCTCAAGGGCTCACTTCTTACTGCAGTAGTACCTGAGATTCACTTTATTCTTCTAACCCTCATCCCTCCTCTTTCTCACAAAGGTGGCTGAAATAAAAACAGAGGCAATTGGTGTCTGGTGTGTGTCCTGGAATCAAACTGCAGTGTGGTCACTGGACTGGACAAGTCTGTATAACTCCACTAGGGAGCTGACTAACATGAAATCTAAGCATTCCGATGTTTAAATATAGCAGAACACAACATACATAAGAGATACTCCTAAAACTTCTTCCATCCCTCCAAAGTAAAGCAATGTGAAGCTTAGGTGAGGCAAAGACTGCTGTGGTTTTAAGATAAGTACAAAAAGACTTGGTCGAAGCCAGTCGTAAATGTATGACCCTGGACAACAGCACTCTAGGCCTCACTAACCAAGGAGTATTTCTTTTTAACTACAAAACAGAAGGAACCAAGTGAGAAAATTTTAGGAAATCTGCCTTTCTATATATTTTTTGAGCAGAATAAGTTTGATGAACTTTTAAAAAATAGTTATTATGGATGTTTAAATTCCAGGGTTCGACTAAAGATAGAAATCAAACCATTACAGAGTTCAAGGACAGCAAATGGGCACTGCAACTGTGGAATCAAGTGGTCTGGTGTAGATGTAGGCACTGGCAAACCTAGGACAGGTAACTAGGGGGCAAGTCCCCATCAGCATCCATCCACCCTGAATGGCCTTTATTGGGCTGTACAGACTGTACCCCTCTTGTCCCCAGCTCAGCTTGGTCAATGCACTGTCTGCTACATTGCTCTAGTGCATTCCTGCTGGGGTAGCCGAGGAAGCTGTTAAGAGCCTGGGTAGGGGCAAGTAGGAGAGATAACATCTCCACTGGGTTTCTGTGTACCTGGGACCACCAAGACTTCCTGTAGGCTAGCTTCTCTGCTTCATAGTTGGGTCTTATAGGGTGACCTTCGCTTCGGCAAGTGTAGCACTTATAGTGATCAACATGGTCTGAAGACCACCCTGTGGGCCAGAGACTTAGCCCTTGGTCTCAGATGACTATTCATAAGCATGTGGGGGTCACAGGAGGCAATTATGTCTATCATCTATATTGGTGCTTACTTTTGCATATACACTCTGTTCCTACATCCTCCCACTGACCAGGGTTTTATAATCCTATATTATACAGTACATTTTTTTTTTTCAAACCTGTCATAGAGCCAGGAGTGGGGGCACACGCTTTGATCCCAGCACGTGGGAGGTAGAGGCAGGCTGATCTCTGTGAGTTCAAGGCCAGCCTGGTCTACAAAGTGAGTTCCAGGACAGCTGGGGCTACAGGGAGACCTTGTCTCAAAAAGACCAAAAACAAACAAACAAACAAACCTGTCACAGGTTTGCACAGCCATTGGTCATCCTTTACATGGGAAAAATATAAGTATATAAGTTGTGCTGAGTACTGTTACTATATTTCTTGCCTTAGAATCATCCTAAGGACTGTTAAAATCACTTCAGGTTCTAAAAACAAAGCCTGAATCAACTGGACTGTCCTCCTGCCCTCCAACCTTCACATTTCACCATGATCTTCCCCACAATCCTCAACTCTTGCCTACACAGCGTAACATTGTTAAAATCATCATGGTAAAGAAAACAAGTGTCAAATTAACTATCAAAATTTCATTATAGTTTGATATGGAGGCAGATTTTAAACTCTATACAGAGAAGATCCCAAGATGGTGCATTTTTCAAGTTGTAACAACTAAAGGAAATGTGGCCTAGCTTTAGCCCCTACCCCCCAATAAAAGAGCAAGCAGTAGAGCTGGCCCACACAGGGACATAGGATACACAGCTCAGCTGTGAGCTCAGCATGGAAGCCACCGACACTTACCGCCACCTCTGCTTCTTCTTTAGGCGCAGCCCGCTTTAATTTCACAGGAGTAGTCCCAACAGGGGACAAAGGTGGTGACTTCACAGGACCCGAAGGACTTTTCCTATGCATTAAGTCATGGTTCTGTTTAGTGTCATTATTATTGTGTTCCATTTTATTGTTCGTAGGCAAATTGGAAGACAAAATTAGGGGTGAAACACTTGAAGAGGAATTTGATAATTTTCTAAAGGCATTATTGGTAACGCTTGCCTGAGGGGGGGGCCTGAGTCGGTCGTTGTCTCCATTCTCCGTCTTTTTCACTTTGATGCTTGTACTTGTTGAGTTTCCATCAAACACAATGAGGGGTCTTTTCCTTAGTCCGTCTACAGTACTACTCCTGAAATAAAAAAGATGCACTCTTGAAAATACCATCTGAGAAGGCAAACCAGTGGACTAGATATCACAGTAAGCAAGGAGATTTACCAACAACACTGTTCTAAAAGGGAACTACTAGAAATAAAACTTCATTTGTTCATGCTAAAGGAATAATGTTCTAACACTTTAAAGTATAAAATATTAGGGAGAATCAGTTTTCTCCATGAACAAGCTCCCTGATGGGTTATTCAATCAGATCAAGTGGTCAGCCATAAACATATACATGTACATGCTAGTACCACTAAATTGCATGGTATGTTTGTGTGTGCGTGCATGTGTATAACAACAATAATCAAAGACGAAGTCTTGAAGTTGGGGAGCAGAGAAGGGTAGAAATGAATGTAAATACAGCACTCGTATAAAATTCTCAAAAAAGTATAAAATATTTATAAGAAATTACATTAGCTTTTATATACAGGCTACAACTGTCCTTAAAATATTAACTCAACTACAAAAAAAGACCAAGATAACTGATAGCTATCTTGACCCTGCAATCATAATTATTTTAGAAAGAAAAGCTACGAAACTATACCAAGACTCCCATAGTGACAGTCTACAAACTGTGAAGTACCACACCCCACAGCAGTCACCAGTAGTTTCTAAGGACCACGCACTTGCTAAATTAATCGGTTACTAAGGTATCTGTATAATTTTAAGTACAGGATTTGATGGGTCTTCATGTTTAGCACCTAAACAGTGAATTTCTATCTTTAACAGTAAAAGTAAAGAAAGCATTCCTTTACTACTCATGATAGCTAAAGTTATAGAAGGGCATAAAAATACAAACTTTTTTTTTTTTTGAGATGGGGTCTCAGTATGTATTGCTAGATAGCCTAGAACTTTATGTGGTCTAGACTGGCTTGAAACTCATAAAAATCTGCCTATCTCTGTGGAGATTAAAGGCATGTGACACCACGTCTGGGTAACACTTTTAATTAAACATGCAAAAAAGGATTAGGCAGTCACCAGGGAGACATGCTAGCCTTGCTATTAATTAGGTCTTGTGCAAGGACCAGCAACACTGGCATCATCCTGGAATCTTCTAAGAAACAGAATCCAGGCATCCAAACTGCACAGAAATCAGAATATTAAAATGTGTATTTTTTTAACTGTAGACTTTGCATTCAAATGTCTGAGTCTGATTTTTACATTTCATTATTACTGAACGTGCGCACACCCGGCTCAAGCACCTATCCAGGCATGCATGTGGGAAGGGTGCACATATGGAGGTCTGATGACAGCCTTCAAGTACTGGTTCTCTCTCCTAAGATTATGGGCTCTGGGGACAGAACGCTGGTCATCAGGCTTGCGCAGCAGTGCTTTTACTCACAAAGCCATTTTGCCAGCCCTAAGAATCAGCATTTTAATCAGATTCCTGGGTATTGGCCAAACTGAACCATTTTGGGGTCACCACTGACAGTCATTGGATAAAAGATGAAAACCCAGCTCATTGCATACCACCGGCCATTGCACAAGGGAAAAAGACTGACAGCACAGTACATATTTAGCTTTTTTATGTTTCTCTCAATGAAAATATGAACAAGGAATCTTAGTATCATACACTGTAATAATCTCAGCACCTAGTGCTCAAAAAACAGTTACTAAATGATTTCTTTCCCCTATTTTTGCTTACGTTTACCTGGTAGTAAAAAAACAAAGCCAAAATTGTTTAGTCATATAGGAGAAAATGAAACCCAGAAACACTAAAATACCTTTTAGTCTCATTTTTTATCTCATGCTGCTCTCTTTTCTTTTCCATCATCTTCCCCCATCTACTCTTTGGCAAATCCCTCTGAGGCAATGGTATCGCGTGCTGGACGTAAAGATCTGTAAGATTGTCTTTGTTTACTTTTAGATCATTTTCAACAGTTATGTTCTTCTGTAGGAAAGGAAACAAAATAATTTCAAGACATTACCATTCATTTAATAACTACCTACCTTTCTAACATGGTAAAACATTTGTTAATTACAAACCTTTTCTCAATCACACCCATTTAAAAGTCCTATAAGGTATTATTATATAGGGTATTATAGATTCATTAAGCTCTGTAAATATTACACTGTCTCCTCTTGGAAACAGTGGTCACAGGCCCTCACTGTAACAGGACAACTGCCTAACACTGCTTAGGCAACACTCCAGGACTGAAGACCATTTCCAGCAGTGGCATCTTAATCTATAAAGAGGAATGAAAATGGGGCACTGCCCAATGAAAACATGTAAAAGAGAGAAAATTACCACATTCTGTCCACAAACTACTTTGAGTGTAATTATTATGACTGGCTTGGTGGGGTGAAGTCTGCCTCACCCTGTGCAATATTTCTCATGTTTTTCTAAAATGGTGATGCTTTTTATTTTTGGAAGTGAGTGCAGGGGGCTGAACCCAGTTCCTAAGCACTTGCTCTACCATGGAGCTTCACCCTCACCTCCTGCACTGCTTTTTAAAATGAGGTGAACTACAGACTGCACTCCCCTTTCCGATGACAGTAACAGCAGATCTCCAGGGCCTGCCCCGCCCTTTTGCTCGGTTGGTCACTGCCCATTACTCTCATTTCCCACTTTGTTCTCAACATCAAAAATATAGGAATAGTTGAGATGGAAAAATGAGAAGAAAAAAGATTATTACAGACCTTTCACCTCACAAAGGCTAGAAAATGTATGCTTTATACAAAGGACAAATCAATGTCCGCTGATAAAATTTAGCCCTTTTTATTTATTCTCATTTTTTAGTATTTTTGAGACGGGGTTTCCCTGTAGCTCCAGCTGGCCTGGAACTCGCTATGTAGACCAGGATAGCCTCAAAATCGCAGAGATCTGCCTGCCTCTGCCTCTCAAGTGTTGAGATTAAAGTCATGCACTACTACGACCGACCAAATTTTACTCATTTTTAAAAAGTTTAAACCACCTCAGTCCTTTATCTTACATATAGTATATTACTAATTTTCATCCTGCATTCACTAGGGTGTGGGGACTGTGAGATTTTCTTGGACATCTCCAAAAGACTCACACACACTGTACTTGGAAAGCACTGACTTTTGGGTTGGCAACAGAATTGATTAAAATGAGGTTTCAGGGCACATCCCAAACCTACTTAATGAGAAACTGAAGATGGAGGTCGGTAATTTGTTTTACCAAGACTTTGGTAATTCCGTTGTACTTAAAAGCTTCCGAACCACAGATTAAGAGTCATTATTAAAACCATGTACAGAGGAGAACGTAAGTAAATTAGAAAAAGGGGTACTACTGGGTGGGGGGCACATAAAGACAAAGTAACCGACGTAAAATCCTATGGAAACTTTGAGAAATTCCGTCATTTTAAATGTAACAGCACGTTTTATCTTCCGCCTATTATCTGAGGTCACACCAGCTGAAAAACTGCAAGCATCACTTGCAGCAACAGAAACTTCGAATTCTAACGGTGACCATTTTACAGGCAATGAGCTTAGTAAGCAAGCCCGTCTCTCTGGGACTGACTCAGTTTCACCATTTCTAAAGGCCGGCCCGGATTTCTCCCCCGCCTGTCTTTCTCCCAGTCCCTCTCCTGTAGGCCCTGGCTCATACAGGCCGCGGGGGTCGTCGGCGGCGCCCTCTCCGAGTTACTGAGGATTGGCTGGAACTCCAGCTCCTCTCCAGAGGTGCACGGCTGTGTGTGGGCGGGGAGCCTCCGCAGCAGCCCAGGCCGTGAGCCTAGGGGCAGGCCCGCACCCCGTCCCGGCTGCCCGGCGGTCCTCCCTGTAGTTCGCGCGCCCCACCTGCTCCAGGGTGAGGAGGAGGAACTCCTGGGACAGCAGCTCCGGGTGCAGCAGCAACTCGGCGTCGGTGCAGTTGCGACTCCCCACATCCCCCGCCATGGTCGTCGCCAGGAGACCCCCGGCCGGCTACCCACAAGGCTCCGCGGCGAAAGCGTCCCGGAAGTGACGTAGGGCGGGAATCGGGTGTCATTGTACGCGCCGGGGGCCCCTCAGGCGCTTGGCTGCGGTGGAGTGCGGAACCTGCGGCCCTGGATGACGTCCCCCAGGCGAGAACAAGACCAGGTTGCGGGACCGAAGTGGGCCGGCGGCACGGGGCCTCGCGGGAAGCGAAGGAAGGCGAAGCTGCCCTCCTGGCCGCGATTGGTCGCGCCTCGTGTGACGTCACGGGGCCGAGGTCGTAGGGATTCTTCAGTCCGCCCGGTGGCGACGGCGGATGACCCTGACCCCAAATGGCATTCTCATGTCTGAAGTCATCTTTTCTCTTTTTAAGAAAATATCTTACTCATTTATTGCCTAATCGCCCTTTACATAAAGTGAGCCAAATAAGGCCAGAGACAATTTCCTGCAATCCCCCGCGCCTCAGACATAAGCATCCCAAGAAGTGTCTGAAATGATCCTCTAAATCAACCAGCTTACGTGTGAAAAAGAATTAGCAGTTGAGAAATCTGGTAGCGACAGCCCAATGCCGGTTACTCCTCAGCGTAGCCTTACGAGGTATATGTTACTAAAATGCCTGTTTCTTTGATGAAGGAACTGAGGCACAGAAAGGGTAATTGGCTCGAAATCACAGCGAGGAAGTGGCGAGATGAAGAATCGAGGACATTTCCTCTGCGCTTACTAATAACTTCGATGAAGTAACAGTTTTTACTTAAAACGAATTCTAGGTTTCTACTATATTCTAAGTTCCTAATGTTTTCTGCTTCTGCGTCATCATTCGTGGAAGAAATATAAAACCCTCAAGTTTTTGCACATTTAAAAGGTGCACTTCCATACATGGTTTGAACTCTTACTGGGTGTCTGTTCTATGATGTATCATTTTATTGGAAACTGTTGCATTGTTTATGAAAACATGAACAACTGTGAGGATACCAAAAGATAAAAGATAACTGGAAAAATAAATGAGCTGTTAAATTAGAAATGAGATAAAAACTGACAGAGGTTTTGCACTTTTTCTATAGTATGTGATACTTTCTGGGTAGAAACAATTTCAGAGCTGGAAGGAAATTTTTTGTTCCTCAAAAAAAACTATATTCAATCCAGTTCTTTTATTTTAGTGTCTAGGAAGCTGATAGGAAGGAGTTAAGTGACCTACCCAAAATTGACAAGTCTTAAAACTGGGCTGAATGTTCTGAATTGGAGTTAAGTGCCTTAGCTGTGTGATACTTGCCTGAGTGTCTATTCAAATCTGCTTTTATAGTGTCATACAAAAATAAAGTTAGCATGGATGGCATCACTGTCATCATTTCCTTTACTGTAAAGCACATAGTTTAGTGACAAAAGTAGTTGCCTTTGAGGGAGCCTGGGCTTGAAACCAAACCCCAGTTTTCATGGCTGCACAGTCATTGGGTGAGCTGTCCTTTTAGTCTTGGTCCTTTCATGAGGAAACTGCTGTAAGAATGATGAAATGGAGATTATATGTGAGGTATACATGTTTAAGAAGAACTGAGTGATGTTTAGAGTGATTGGTCATAGGATGAAGAGAAGGGGCAGGCTTTGCAGTGGTCCAGCCTTGGACCACTCTCACTGAGGATAAATACCTCCTCTCCCCTAGCTATAGTTTCCTTCTCTTTGAGATAAAATTATAATCACCTCACAGTGTTGTAAGGATTACAGCTAAAGTATGTCAAATACCTTTCCAGTTGCTTCCACCTGGACATTTGTAACCTGTTGATTGTCATGGAGGGAGAGAAGTGACAAGAAAGTGGTATAAGAAGAGGCAAGTTTCATAGTCTGGAAGTGTGGTCTCAAGTCCTTGCTCTGCTCCTCAATCCTGTCGTTTCTTCTGCCCATCACCCAAACTGAAGCTTCAAACTCTTCATCTGCAAAAGTTTTATGGCAGGTAAGATCTGTTTTCATTCCTCTCAGTACCCAAAGTACTTCCTGACTTAAAATAACTTCGCTAATATTATTCTAGGTGCATCCAAATCAGAAGTCATGGGATGGAAGAAACTGTAGTTGGAGGCAAAGAAAAAAAATCAAGAGAGGAAGAACTAGGATGAGTTTCACACACACTTTTCTGCCTCAAAGAGAAAGGGAACCTCTTTGGCAACATTGCCCATTCCTTCCTGCTTAGAGCCTCTATAGAGTCGAGCCCTGGGGAATCTGCAGTTTGCTGATTCCTAGGAGACTCATGGAGGAGGCCCTAGAATGGGCATTTCTAAAATGTTCTGGGGTGATACTTCACATATTTCCAGGAGGAAGGGCTGCTTCAAGGAGATTTTAACCACATCACTTGAAAAAACACAGAAAATCCCCACCCTGGAGCCAGCAATCAAAAGACTGAAAAACCAGTTACCGTAGTGGAAAAAGACTAGTTCAGGATTCTTGTAAGACCAGTGTTGTGAGGACCTGATGCCTCTGGAGTCTCCTCCTGACATGTCAGATCTTCTCAACCGAGACATAGCCCTGAGGAAAATCGTACCATGTTGGTGAGCATGTTGTCATTGTAACACAGTGGGGGCTTCGAACAGAAATAAGGTTTATTCATTAACATTCTTATTTCTTAATTCTGGAGGCAAAAAAAAAAAAGCTAAGGGGAACCAACCAGCAATGAGTGTCCTGATATCACCTCACTTGATAGTGAGTAGGCCAAGTTCCATACATTTCCTTTCATTCCTTTACCTAGTTCATTAGCATGCACCATGCTGTATTTAGTGGGTGCTGTATAAATGTTTGTAGTGGACTTGATGGCACATGCCCTTAGTCTCAGCACTTGGGAGGCTGAGTTTGAGGCAAGTCTGGTTTTACATAGTGAAATTATCTCAAAACAAAAATAATAAATAATAAAATGTAGGATGAATAACTAATGAGAAAAATATTTACTAAGACTTTGTGTGCTGATTTCTGCTTGAATATAGTGTAATAATTTAAGGTATTTTACTATAAATATTATTTGTCAAAAATATATTGGAGCATAAGTTAAGGAGCTTCAAAATGAAGGTAACAGTTTGTGAAATAATTTTGGCTTTGGGTTTTTAGCTTCTAATATTAAGAACACACTTAATGGTTCTATTACTGTTTTCATTCCTCAGAACATAGTAAAGATGCATTTACTTACCTAAACTGATGACTTTTTTATAATCCCAGTGTCTTAGTGTATGCAGACTGCATTACTAAAATACTGTAGAGTAGGTGGCTTACAGACACTAGAGGTGTGTTTCTCACAGTTCTGGAGTCTGGAAAGTCTAAGGTGCTTCCAGATTTGGCATTTAGTGAGCACCCATTCCTCATAGATGGCAACTTCTGGCTGTGTCCTCACATGGCAGAGGGGACAAAGGGGCTCTCTTTGGCTTGTTTGATAAGGGCACTAATCCCATTTATGAGGGCTCCACCCTCATGAAAACCACCTCCTAGAGGTCTCGCCTCTTCAATACTATCCCTCTGGGAATTTGGGGGAGCACATACATTCAGATCAAGGCACTCATCTCACAGGTTACCTCTTTCTTCTTTGGGTCCTCAGCTCTCAGCACAGAGCCTGCCTCAATAAGCATGACTGAATCTTTTCCTGATTCTTAGGCACTTCCTGTGTTCCATTGTCACCAAACCTATGAAGCACATTATTTTTGACTTATGATCTGGTTAAGTAGGTTTTTCTTGCACATATCTCCCTAATTTAGTGGTTCTCAAAAAGTAAACTCCCTGAGACAGAGTCTGACTTCCTCACTTCAGTATCCCCTTTAATCTTTGGCATCGAACAGGGCACAAAGGAAATAGGTGATTTGAAAATTTTATTTTGCTGAATCTAAATTAAAAGTATAAGAGCTAGGCATGATGGTGCACACCTTAAATCCCAGCACCTAGGAAGCAGATGCAGACAGATCTCTGTGAGATTGAGGCCAGCTTGATCTACATACATACCATCTCAAAACAAACAAAAAGGAGTATATATAGATGTGTGTGTATATATGATTAAATGAGCTAATATTATAAACATAAAAACACTTAAAACATGACATTGTAATTAGCTATGCTTACTTTTAAAATCATAAATGTAATTTTGCTTAATCTAGTCTTTTAAAATGATGTCCAAACATGTTAGGCATTCTTCAAAGCGTCTATATGTTAGAAACTGAATCTTATCATTGAAAGCCTCCTTGGGGAGCATATGCGTAGCATGTACAAGGCCCTAGGTTCCATTGCCATCACTACTATCAAGCTTCTTTTAAAGGTAATTTAGGGGCCAGAGAGATGGTTCAGCAGTTAAGAGCACTGACTGCTCTTGCAGAGGACCCATGTTTCATTCTCAGCACCCATATGTTGGCTGACAACTGCCCGTAACTCCAGTTCTAGGGGGATCCAACACTGTCTTCTGGCCTCTGAGGGCACTGCACAATATAGGTACACTTAACAACCTTAGGAAAGCACAGACAAGACACTCATACACATAAAATTAAAACTAAAGGGAATTTAATCCATTAATATTGAGCATTAAAACATCCAAAGAATTTAAAGATTGGCTGAGTGCTTTCTACATGCAAAAAGATAAACGAGTCTAGCAGACCTACCCTTGCCGGCTGTCTCCTCTACCCTGGGAGGAAGTGGGGACGACAGCGCAAGTGAGGATGACAGCACAAGTGAGAGGATGCTAAGATTTGAAAGTGTTTAGCAACTGTTAAAGCATTCAGTTGTATTTGTGCAATGCTTTGTCTTTATCAGGTCTTCTGTGAGAACACATCTTTTCACATCCTATAACATATTCTTACCATGTTTGGTATGGGCCCAGGGATTATTTAATAAATATAAATAAATGAATAAAAATCCATTTGAAAACCATATGACATATTTGTTCATACATGCACCCAATAGAAAGAGTATAAAGAATTTAAATTAGCCTATACAGATATATGAGCATGTTTTGTAGTCCAGACATTTACCTAGAAGGGACTGTCATTTGTGACATAAATGGTTTAGTATGTTCCAGGAAAAACAGATTTTTCTAGATGGAATAACATACCCACGTAGAGACTGCCATTTCAAGAATCTCCTGGTAAGCCTTATAAAAATTGTTTGTGATGTCTCTCTTTTGTAGTATGCATTTTCCCTCCTAGATCACCTAGAACGGAATGTAAATGTTGTTCCATATACTATTCAATCACAACAACCAAATTTATTTTCGAAACTTGCTGTGCTGTTGAATTCTGGGTTCTTGCTCTGTTCCTTACTAGCATGGGATTCCAGACCAGTCATTTGCCTCCCTTTGTCTCAGTGAACTTACCTGAAAAACAGGGAAACTGCAGTATGAGTATGACTAGCTATGAATTCCTGGAGGGCTCAGCTCAGGGTCTGGAAGTCAGTAGAGGTCACCCCTCAAGCTAGCCTTATGCAGCTGTCTGCCCTTTGGCATGGTAAAGCACAAAGATGGCAAGGTGTGAATGTGGCTTTTAAGCCTAGCTGGGCCACTGATGTTGACAACTAGTAACTTGCTTCCTGTGGGTCTGGGTAAAGTGAGGACTAGGTTTGTTCTGGTGCTTCTTGCTCTCTGGTCTACTTCCAATTCACCTCCTTACACTTGAGGGCCCATTCATTACTGTTTGCCCTTGATACTCAGTTGCTGATCAGCTGTCTGTGGTCCAGCTGAGTCTGGGTGAAAGCACCATGTGACAACAGTGAGAAAGAGGTGGAGGATAAGCCATTGGAGTATTTTTGTTTGTTTTGTTTTGTTTTGAGACAGGGTCTCAGTATGTAACCCTGTCTGGCTTAGAACTCATTATGTCGACAAGGCTGGCCTGGAACTCACAGAGGTGCCTGCCTCTGCCTCCCAAGTGGATCAAAGGTGTGTAGCACCTAGCGTTTTGAATGCTAATAGTTAGCTTCCTAGTTCATCATGAAACTGGGTTTTGACTATATGTTGAGGGGGTTCATGGATTTGTGCTAACCTAGAAGTCTTCCCCGCGTGACACAGAGTGGCTGATGATGAACTTCCCTAACAGAAGTAGGTGGAATTGCCCCAGAATTCCCCCTAGGAATGAATACCCTGCAAATATGCTCCTCCCCTCGGGACTTCATTCCTTCTGCGGCCTGGGCGAGCTTGGGCCTGGGGAGCGTCGGGCTGCTCGTCCACTGGCACACCGCAGTGCCGTTGGCAGCCCCGCCAGCAAGTCAGTTCCTTAGGCCGTTGGGGTGGCAGTGCTGTCCCGCGTCCGTCCGTCTGTCCGTCCGGGAGGCACTGCCCAGCCTCCGCGTTGCCCAGCGCTGTTCTGCTGCTAGGCGCTGGTGGTAGCCAGCCATGGAGTGCAGAGCGGAAAGGCCCAGGCGGAGCTTCCCCGGAGCTCCCCGGGCCGGAGGGGCAGACGCTCAGCTCCGGAGGGCGGCGGTCCCGGGCAGCGCCGCCTGCGCACTCGCCGACGCGCGCTGGTCTTTCGCCCCCTGACTACCCGGGCCGGGCCGCTGACGTCCCCAGCAGCCTGGGCTGGGAGCCGGGGGCAGGCGGCAGGGACCGGCGAGC